TAGTATATGAAGCGATAAACAGCAGATTGATGACCTTTCTGAGCACCACCAGAGGGCGCTAGAAGCAAATAGTATAAAATGTTTAAACCGTCCTTTCCACTGTATTTGCAAGAGAAAGTTAATTACCCATGTGTTTAAATTCCCCTTCTTGTGGCCGCCCTCATCGCCTTTACTGTTTCCTTTACTATGCAGTCTAACACTTAATAACTCATCTTAGAAAGCAACAGCCACTTTGTAAAAAGTTCTGACTTTAGAATAAAATAACTTCCACAGGGACTTAGGACACATGAGAGTACTTTACAGCATTTTGGAGTTGTATTTATGATATTATAGACAGAACCACTGAGGAAGAACAACCACAGCTTTCTGCCTGCAACCATGCGCCTCCTTACCTGTCCCCTGTAAGCAGGCTGCTGGACAATGTCCTCACCTGGCGCCTGGGCTGGTCCCATAGTGCTTTGTTTCCATGACGGCCTCTTACCTGGCCTAATCAAAACCTGAAGTGGGAAGTGTGAGCCATCACCAGGGAAGTTCTAGCTTAGGGGACACAACACCCTTGCATTCCCCACCCCCAAGTGATTTGCTTTTTTACTGTACAAGACTGCGTGGAGCCAGTGGGCATCAGGAGGAAAGGGCCACACGACAGCAGAAAGATTGTGTGGCAGTGCTGCCTGCTGGATCTGGAGGAGCAGAGCTAGGAAGCACTGTGTGTGACCTTGGGTCAGCTTGGTGCTGCATGTCTAGGTAGCCATGAAATATGTTGGTTTTGAAATAGCTATTTTTAGCCATAAGTTTTATCAAAAGCAACATGTCCAGTTGTTATTGCAAGTTGTTCTGGTTGTCTGAAGCACTTGCACAATAGGAAAAAGAACTCCTTGTCTTCCTGGAAGTGATGGTAGACACCCAGTTAAGATAAACTCTATTGTGAGGGAAGACGTGTATTGACTCCCTTTTTGCAGATTGAACATTTTTCTTCCTTAATGGGAGGCTTGCATGCTTTTCCTACAGATTTTCTTTTGTAATAGAAGCTGTGACGCCCATGAAGACCAAAAACATATCACAGATTGTTAGCTTTTTAAATTCCGAAGTAAGTTCAGTTTCCAGGGTAAAGTTTAGAAGTTCTTTAGAACTTTATTTAATGGAATGAAAGAGACATGTATGTATGTTTTCAAAGTTTATAATGATTTACATCCAGACATCCCATACTGTGCAGCAGGCAGACTCAGAGCTGTGCTTGTGAATGTTTAACAGGGCACCTTGGGGGAAGTGGCAGGGGTGTGGGGCACCGATTTATATCTTTTCTGATTCCAGTGCTGTAAACACCCTCATCACCACTGGTTTCCTGCCACTGAACACCGAGTGAGGAAACAGTGGGCACAGTCAGCCCTTGGAGGCTGCTACCCACTGGCCCAGTGCACTCACTGGTGGGTCTGTGCCTGCTGTGATTGTCTCTAAGCCAGAATCTTCTGAGACTTCTTGCTCTAGGCAAGAAAACCTGCTGAAACCAAGTAGTTCAGGACACTGAGTCGAGACACCAGCTCTGCATGGTTTCTCATTGACATCTGCATGGACTGTGTGGATTTTGTCTTTCTTTCTCTCTCTCTCTTTCTTTCTTCCTTCTTTCTTTCTCTCTCCCTTCTTTCTTTCTCTCTCCCTTCCTTCCTTCCTTCTTCCTTTCCTTCCTTTCTTTTTTTGAAATAGTAAGCCATTGTTTTTGGAGATGGTTATCTTAAAACATAAGCATCAAGTTAGGTTAAAATTCTCAGCTTTCTATGGTTATACTTTGACTTTCCTCCAAATAATGAGCATGTGGTGAGATGCTGTGCTTAGTTCGTTCACTCATTGCATTCTTTAGCTGTGACCCCTTCCCATTCATTTGCACATATTTGATCCTAAGGATGGCTTTCTTGAAGACCCATGGTTTCTCAGCTTTGGCCACAGTGATATTTTGTTCCTGGATTCTGCCCACCAGATGCCAGGAGCATCATTCTGCCTTTTTACTTTGTGACAACCAAAAACAACTCCAGACAGTGCATGTACCCCCAGAGGGGAGAGGAAGTTACTCTCAGCGGAGAACCACTAGGCAGAATTGAGTGACAAGACATCCTTCTCGCCACCCTCGGGAGGGACTGTGGCCTGGTGCAGTGAAGGCTGTCACAGGGTTGTGACCAGCATGTTCCATCTCTCAAGAGCTGGTGGTGACATTTCCAGGGATTTTTCTAGCTCTTTGTTAGAAATTGAAATATAATGAAATGACTTGTACTAAGATGATTGAAATACTAAAACCCATCACTTTCTTGTTTTCTCTTCCTTGTGTTCTCAAGGTCACTATATATCCCCCAGGTGTCTGTGTGGTAGACATACTACACAGTGGTGTCTCCTGCACATGTCTTCCCAGATCCATGCTCAGCAGTGTCACCTTGGTCATTAAATCCAGTTGTGAAAAGAATCTTTACGCCAGGGAAATGGGCAAACGGTACAAGCCAAGCCATTTTCCTCGGGTGGCTGCTTGTCAATCATTTATCTGCACAGTACTGTGTGTTTATATAAAAGAGGCTTGTCAGTAGTTATTGTGTAAGAAATATTATTTGCTTCTTTCCCCAAATAAAGGATAAATGTCTGCCCTCCAAAATAAAGGTCAGAAGAATGTGGCTTACACCATTGGGAAGCAATTTGCTTTCTTAAAGATAGGAATTGCTTTTTATGTGTAATAAATTTTACTAACTCACCACTGTTTGAAATAACTCCATGTGCCTCTTCCCATTACCCCACTGCCCAGAAGGAGTGGTAAGAGGCTGAGGGTGGCATGGAGGACTCTCCCCTGACAGGCCAGATGGATGCCAGGGGCTATCAGACTTTCCTGTCAGTGCAGAAAACAGGGAGGAGAGGGGCTAAGTCTCACCATAAGGAAAGATCTTTGGGGACACATAGACCAAATTGGTCTTTCCTCCTCATGAGTGATACCGGGGACAGACTGAGCACTGATATCCTCCAAACACCTCAGTACTGATGCGTTCCCCTTTCTTCTATTACTGTGTACAATTCTGTCAGATTTGTCTGATTTTCCTAGTTTCCTAAGTAAAATATCACATAATTCCAATGCATTTTACCCCATCATGCACCGTTATTTGTTTCCATACAGATTACAGAGGTTAGTTGTCAACTTGTGTGCCACAGCCTCTGCCTCTCTTACTGCCCACTGCTGCCCAGCCAGTTGGGTGGACTCAGAGTTCCTAGTCACACCTGTATGGCAGGGCCAGTCTGGCAGGACGAGATCTATGGGACCCAGCAGTACTCACCTGGCTTTAGGCTCAAAAGAGTTGCACCAAAGTCCCTGATCTGAGGAAGATAGAAGCCCTGGTGGCAGAGGGCTGGCCATGTCCTCAGGCCCCTACCTGCTCCATGGGACTGCTTTTCTGACCTCATTAATCATTATGCTATTGGGTCATGGCATGGGTGATGCACCAGGCTCTCTAGGCAGTGCCCTGCCACCTATCCCTGGCCTTCCATGCTTCTGGTATTCCACCATCTGCCACCTACCCTGTTCCTGTGTCACCACTGAATAGCCCACTAGGATGAGTCAGGAACATATGGAGGAGTATCCGCACTGAGTTTTAGTTGGGAAGGAAATCCTCCCCCGACTCACTCCATAATAATAATAATATGTCTGCAGCCTACATTTTCTCCTGTGTGCTCAGTTCAATGATTTAATAACTAACTAAGCAAGCAGTAAAGGATGCCCACTTCATTTTTATTTTCAACTGTGTTCTGAGAATTCATGGTACATTAGACTAAAATTTCTTTCAGTTCAGGGAATATGTTTATAAAAAACAGAAAGAGTATGACTAAAGGAATGTTTCAAATTATAAAAGTCATCACATATGACAGTTACTCTGTCAGGACAATTTCTGAAGTATAATACTTGTAGATCAGCTTTGGTTTTATTTGGTCTGCAATCTGTTTTCTCTTTTAAGCATCATAGACTTTTCTGGATTGGTAATAAGATAATTTGAGGACAGCAGTGACTTATCTAAAGTATTTTCCCTTTTAACTCCAATGTTACATGTCTACCTGTTGTGTTTGAGAATGGGTAGGTGTTGAATTTGCCTCCATGATTTCTTGCTGAGTGAAAGTGGTAAGGTGGTCTTATGTTCTGAGACTTTTTGATTCTTTTCAGAATCTTAAAATTACTCAGCCACCCCCACTCTTTTGATTTCAGAGTATGACCTGGTGTCTGCCTACGAGGTTGACCACAGGGGAGATTTTGTGTCCCACGAAATAATGCATCACCAGCGACGGAGGAGAGCGGTGGCCCAGCTGGGGCGCGACACATTGCACCTCAGACTGAAGGGCTTCAGGCACGACTTCCACCTGGATTTGAAAGCTGCCAGCAACCTGGTGGCTCCTGGATTTATGGTGCAGACACTGGGGAAGAGAGGCACTAAATCAGTGCAGAGGCTTCCACCAGAGGACTTTTGCTTCTATCAGGGCTCCTTGAGGTCTCAGAAGAATTCCTCAGTGGCACTTTCCACCTGCCAAGGATTGGTGAGTATGGGCAGCTCTCCCCACACTGGGAGTGAGGTGCATGGGGTGATGGTGAAAAGAGAGGCAAAACCGAGCTTTCCCTTGGAATATCATCACTTGCTCTCCTAGTATTGTGCTGCATGTTTCTATGGTCTGTAGAAGGCAGAAGATTGCCAAGTAACACTTTCCAAAATATGCAGTGCTGCCTTCTGGAGTCCAATTGGGAACAGTGTCCCCATCCACCCTTTTATTATTCTAAAATAACTGTGGGAGAGCCCTACTGTTTGAAAACCATGCAGAAGAACTAGCAGCATGTCTGAATGAATTAACTTCAAAGGGAATGTTTTTATTTAGTTGAAGGGCCCATCATCAAAACTGGCGAAATGTCTTCATTTCACATTAAACCACAGATTCAGTAGCCTGGCTGTGGAGATGCCTGAGACTTTGAATTCTTTACATCTGTCACTCTGATGATGGTGACATTCTTACAGATCAGGGCATCCATCCGTGCCTGGGCAGTGCTGCCTGGTTGGATATGGTGCTGTCAGTGCACTCTGCACTTCGTGAATATCTAATTTCAACACTCCATGCAGCGGAATTGTTTCAGGTGTCCACTTTGTGGGGACCCTAGGGCAAGGAGCTTGTGGCCACCAGTGTAGTCCACTCGCAACCCTCAGACCTCAAGCTGAAAACTCAAGGGATTATCTTTTACTTTTCTTAATATATTTCCATATTTTAGAGAAAAAAGGCTTACGAATTTTTTGGATTATTGACCACGAGTTTATCTTGAACCCAAATTAGCAAAAAGTGACTTAGCAGAGTGAAAATATGTGCTCAGAACACTTTCAGTTCTTGACGGTGTTAAAATAGGTTTTTGGACTCTGATCACACCTCTAGAAAATGCTGTCTCACATTTCCTCCCCTCTTTGAGAAGAGGGATTTCAGGGTCCACATCTCATAGGGAATGAGTGTGTGCTTGTGAGTACTGGAAGCTGACATGCACAAGCAGTGCCTTAAAATAATTAAACCTGCAAATGCTAAATCCTGCAAAATATTTTTAAAATATTAACATCTTACTTTTTAAAGGAATTTGATATGAGTCGATCTCATTTCTACTTTCATTTGAAAAAGGCTTTTGGTTCAAGAATGGACACAGAAGATTGCCAGACACAGGGTGGTGCTCATTTGGCAATCTTGTTAAACATGAAGACATGTGGTTGAGTTTTTCCCATACTCTCCCAAGAAAAATAGGTCTTCTCTCTAATTAAAGATTAAAATCCTTCATGTAATGCACAAAATTCAGACATCTCCTCCTTGGCTTTCTTCCATACACACTTCAACCAGAAATGGAAGTCATCTGTATGGTAGGAAGATATGTCAGGCCCTTTTGATAACCTTGGATTTGTCTCTAGAGATGGGACAAGGTACGTCCATTAACCATAGGAATGCTGGCCCACTGACAACCCTGGCTCTCCCAGAGGCAGGACCCTCCCCTGGTAGCTGAGTTATGCCCTGGAATCTGTCCCATGAATCAAGTTGGCTGACAGTTTAAGATTTCTGGCTCTCTTTGAACATGATGGTAGTTGACAGCAACAGTTGTAAGCATACAATTACACGAAAGATAGAGAAGTGAAAAAGCCCAGAAAAAGGCTCTTCTGGGCAATAAACAATGGAATCTGATATTGTGGTCACGGGAATAGAAATTTGTAAGCCTTCACCATTAATCTTCCAGATACATAAATTCCAGCTCCTCTGGTATTTTGTCTGCATGTGGTCATTACAAACATGACCTCAACTAGCCTTAAGCATGAGAGATTTGGGGTCATTTGTCATAAGATAGGACAAAACAAAGACATTTGAAAGAAAATGGAAGAATGAAAAAACCCTCTATCTGTAGGCATGCAGTAACAGCATTGAACAGGACCTTCATGTCGCCATCAAGTCTTTCTTTCCTGATGATGGTTACCCATCCCTCAATTTTCCAATCTGCTGTCATGCGATGATGACTTCTTTGGTGTCATTTTTGGCTCTTGCAGATGCTGTTTGAAGTCTTAGGTAGATCTCAGTTCTCAGCTGGGTTTGGGGTTTGTTTGGCAGTCCAGGATCAAATGCAGGGCTAGGCGATGTTGTACCACTGAGCCGGACTCTCAGCCCTCAGTTGAGCTTTTTATACAGTTTCTAGCAAGATTCCATTGACTCAGTTGGCTAATGGGAGTCAGGAATTGGTAGGACTTACTGCCCTGTCTTTCTGTTTTATTCCGTTTCATTTTTTCCAGTTGTAGATTATAGTTTATGTTGAGTGTATAGCATTATTCACAAATGATAATGCATATTAATTTATCATTCATTGATCACTCAAGAGAAGAAATACATACATTTGTAGGATGGATGCCGTGTGTAGCAATGCTCAAATTAGTGGACACAGTTGTCCTGTTCTTGATATTCAGCAAGGGCTCATTGCCTGATGCCCACAGAAGCTATTACTATAGCATGAGATCTTTGCAGAAAGAAAAAGCTTACTGCAGTCAATCAGTCAGGAGAAAGGAGAGATGTAATCCCAGTTCTGCCTCACAGACAAGATTGGTTACAGGAATCTACAGGAGGGGAAAGGGGCACAGGTGTTTGTTTGTGGATGGTGAGAGAAGTTTTAGGCATCCTTTGCACAGGCATAAATGGCCAGCATGCCTCTCCAAGGTTCCACATTTCTGTTCCTGGGAGTCCTGTGTTCTGCATGGGAGATTTTGAGCTCGTGACATCAAAATGTCATTGCTGAAAGAGTCACTTTCTTCTGGGCATGTCCATTGTTGAAAAGCAGATTCTATATTGTCTGTGAATAGATTCTGGAGGGTTGCCCTGAAAGACAATTTAAGAACTTTGCTAGTTAGGGAATTTATGTCCAGATCTTTCATGGGGGAGATTTCATTCTCCCCCATGCACTTTGGCAAAGCCCAGTGGGGAGCACAGAGAAGACAGGATGCTGTCTAGCGGGAAATGTTCCCTATTGTCCTTATTTAATCTACTTTTTAAAAACATATTGCTTATAAGGAGAGTATCTTGCATTATTTAACTAGAGAGAATGTTTATTGTAAGATAACACAATTTCCCAAGCCACATATAGAGTTTTCTGCTGATCTGCAGAATTTGGATTTGGGAACATTTTGCTAACAGCCCTCCAATGATCACATTGAGTAATGCTGTGAAAGTTAGTTGATGGTGTTGTTCTATTCATAATAAATAAGTGTTCATAAAGACAAGGAAAGCTAAAGCAACCATTGCACTTTAAATTTTATTTTCACAATAATGATGTCATTTATGAATGACCTTCAGAATGAAGTGCTACTGGAGCTTTCCAGATCTGGTCCCAGGGAAACACTGCCAGATGAGAGAGACAGAAGATAGACAATCTCACTACAGGGTACCAAAGGAAATAGAAGCATGGGCAGTAGCAGAACCTGGAGGAGGGTGTCTCAGTCTGCCTTGGTAGAGGTGGGAAGTGTCTAAAAACCAAGGCAAGCCCAGTCCTCATGGAAAAGTCAGGATGCGATGGCCCTAGCTGGAGGCATAGCAAGCAGTCTTGGGGACTGCTGATATCACTTGCTAAAATCTGGAATCCTGGGTAGCAACACCTATATGTTAAGAGATTGACATTTGTATACTAAAACCAAGCATATACACTAAACAAGATCTGTAAACACTAAAAGTATTGCTAAAGTTAGCCTGAGATTGCCACCAAGTGTCTTGACTCAAAATATTTCTCATGTTGTTAAGTAATAATACATTTTTAGAAAAAAAGTATTTATTATATTTATGTCTCTACAAGATTGATTAGACATATCTGTTGTAATAACCTACCATGGACATATAATGTGTGTCACTCAGTAGGTGCTTTATACTACTTAGACAAAATAAAAAGGCGTCTGGAAGGAGAAAAGGCAGGATAAAATAGGCCTTCGTCTCTGGTAATATGATAAAAAAAATGCTGAATGGATGGAATTCCCAGGCTAGAGGCAATGATGATTGATTGGAGCAGAGTGATATTAACTCATTGAATGCATGCAACAGATAATTTGCTAATAGTTTCATGTTTTACCTCAATTTTATCTCAGTTAAAGATACATACTATCTTCTTTTAAAAAATGTTTATTTAGATGTAATTCACATGACATATAGTTTAGTCTAATCACAGTTATGTAGCTATCATCAAAGTTCAACTGGAGACATTTAAAAATCACCTCAAAAAAAAAAAACCCTTCATTGTCCATCTGCATTTCCCTTAACTCCCCCCACCCTTGAAACTCCTAGACACCTACTAATCTATTTTCTACCTCTGCAGACCTGCAGTGTCTAGTCATTTATTATAGTCAGATACAATCTATGGTCTTTGTGACTAGCTTTGGTCACTTGGCATAATGTCTTCCAGGTTGATTCATGTTGTAGAACATATCACTACTTCAGTCAGTTACTTTTATTGCCAAATAATAATTATAACACATATTTAATTTGTTCTTTATCATTGATGGGTGTGACTATTGTTCATTTTTTTGCTATTGTGAATAACATTACCATGAACACTTGTGTTCATGTTTTTGTGTAGACATGTTTTTATTTCTCTTGGGTATATGCCTGAAAGTCTAACTATTGGATATTATGGAATCTCTATACATAACATTTGAGGAACTACTAAATTGTTTTCTACAGTAGCTGTACCATGTTATACCCATCCCCAGAAATCAATGATATGAGGGCTTTAATTTCTCCATGTTCTTCCCAGAACTTGTTACTATCTATCTTTCCTGTTTTAGACATCCTAGTAAGTACAGAGTTGCAAGGTGGTTTCTCAATGTGGTTTTGATTAACAAGATGGAGATTAGAAATTACTGATTTGTTAGGCAGGTTCCCCATATTTTGGTTAGCAACAAACTGGAGTCTGGTGAGGAAAAACACCCATATGATGAACAGAGCTACATTAAGTGGGTACTTCATGTACCCAGAGATTGTCAGCAAAGAACAACAGAAATCTA